CTGGACTGAAATATCTATAAAGCAGACTATTTGCTACAAATTTCTTTTATCATTAGTTGACAAAAAAGACATGTTTTTAATCACAGATCTATGTGGTCTTGTTTAGGGTGAGTCATTTAGGGTAATGCACATCACATCTCCAAAGGGAGCTTTTCTCCAGGAACTATAAGGTGAACTAATTTTAGATGAGGGCAGCTACACTATAGGCATATAAAGTTTAGTATGTTGAATTCTACCTTAGTTATTAGAAGGCTACAAAGGGTACATGGAATTATAACAACAATATTGCAAGCCATGAAATAAAATGTACAGGAGTACACACTTAAAAGCAGGGATGCCTTGAGTGTTCCTGATCTCATCTGTTTTTCACCTGGAGATTCATCTGAATCTACAAGGCTGGCTTGTGCAGAAGACTACTCTGGGTTCCTCTCCTTGGTGGAGCTATGTCAATGAAGACAAAAGAACTTGAGATGCAACAAACCTGAAGAAATGTAGACATTTTAGCATGAGACAAGTGTCTCCCAAGACACCCCTTATTGTCTCATCTAAATGCTTAATTCAGTTAGCACGAGACAAGTGTCTCCCAAGACATCCTTTATTGTCTCATCTAAATGCTTAATTCAGTTGGGTGGCAAGAACCTGTTGCGATGCCCCAGAGTATCCTGCCAAGACTCCAGCTAAAATTTGGAAGGGTGCAGGTCTTCCATATGTCCTTTGTAACACCCTTAGAACTGCAAGGGTGTCTTAGACATCTTGTTTTATATGACATAGTGCCAAGGGCTTCCATGTAACCTGCTACATTTAGACTTAGGTCTCCGCTGACCTAGAAGAACTCCTTCCCACTGTTGGGATAACAAGCTCAGATGTAGAAACACTCTTTTAGTTAGACACAGCTATATTTTATGACTTCTTTCAAAAGAGTCCATTCATTTCTGAAGAAACAGGTGTTTGCTTTTCCCCGCCTGGATCACAGGAAAGCACTAACGTAAGCACGTATGTTTAGATATCGTCAATACTAGTGTTAATAACTGGACACTTTCCAATATCAGAAAAAAAATATTGTAAAAGACGTGTATCAGTATCTGTCAGGAAATCTTTTTTTTTTCTGTGGTTCATTACAGAACAGGGTGTTCCAGGTTCTGCTTCCTGGGCTCTGTGTACCTTTTCTATCAGATCATGTCTGTAAAAGGGGAAAACATTACAGGATGCAGAAACCAGAAATCTATGCATCCCTTTACGTTGCTTTTTCTCAGGGCCTTTTTCACACAATTAAATATTTCCTCTTGGGTGTTTTCCCATCTATTCCTATGGTTCCTGCATGTTAGACTGTGGAATGGCTCAGATTCAGCAAAGTATGTGGAAAACCCTCTCAGTCAAGATATGCTGTGAATGGGTATGTAATATGCCCTCTGGTTATATAGGTTACATCCATCTTTTATCAAGTAGTTTCCCATTTCAGAGTGTTTTAACTTCTATGCTATTACAAAATAGGTGAGAAAAAGCTCCACAAACGAGCTTGGCTGTGGCCAAATGAAATTAGTTCAGTAATTTTTATGAGTCAAATTGCAACTAGTCAGGAATATAATTTCCAAACAATTCTACATGATGGGATTCCATGATTTTAAATTATTATCTTAGTGCTTCTTTTACCCACTCCAAGTGTTTCTCCTTTGCTTACTGCAACCAGCACAATAGAATGGTCCATGCAGAACTCATTGACTTGCAAATTTGATTTTCCTGTCTTCTTCTACATTTTAATATGATTTTTAATCTCAGAAAGGTCAAAATATTTTTTACTAACCGGCCACTGTTACAAGAACACCAACCTTCTTTTTGTGTCATCTACCATACCTCTGGTATACTCTTATGTCAAGTGCAAGAGAAGGCTAAAACGCTTATACATTGAATGAATTTAGGGATAACATTTTTCAAAGAATTCATGGCAAAAGTCCCCAAATTTTCATCACTATTGTTAGATTAGAGAAACACTTTTTCCCAGCAAATAAATTTAGCAAACAAAAAGGCATTCATTAAAAACTTTAGTAGTTCATATAGCTTGTTTTACATGGAGGTAGTTATGGCTGAAGTCATTAACCACGTAAACTGAAGCTGTGATTGAAATAACACTACCTTGGGTAAGCACAGTTGGACATAGTTATGTGTGTGCTTAGTCTACAGCCTCAGTTGTTGAGAATTTCCTTGCTACTGGCCAGAGAGCAAATAATTCGAACAATATTTATTCACAGTAGTTTTAAACTTACAAGTCAGTCACATTATATCATGTATATAAGCACACAAAGCTCAGTAGCAACCACTAGAAGGACAAGACCAAAAACAATCTCAGGACGGAGAAGCAGTCTCCAAATCTAGGTAGTGGGAGATGGTTTGGGTCTTCCTCAGATGTTACTCGTCCCTCCCTGCTGCCAGGGATTAAGCCATGTTCAGCAGAGGATTAAACTCAGCAATGGTGCCTGAAATGCTTTCCTCTGTAATGTGAAAGCAAATTTCAACTCTTAAAGACCATTTCAGCCCATAAAGACCAGAGCTGGGCCACGATGGGCATCAATCAACACAGCTGCTTAGACTGAAAGGTGGAAGAGAAAAGCTGTGGTGAATAGCTTTTCTCTCTGAAGGTTGAAAGAAGATGTTGAATGGTGTGTTTCTCTGAGGAGGGTGGATTCAATCTACCTGCCCTCCATTCAATCTACCTGCCCTGCTGGCTGAACACATGCCTCCTCCAGTTCAAAAGCAATAGTGCAGTACTATAACAGTGTTGTAGTCAAAATTTCCAGTTTGCAAGTCACCTAAGCCCAGCATCTCATCTCTGGTAGTCCAATAGCCTCCTAAGAGACTTGTAGCTTCTGCATTCATGTGCCTTGCCTTTTCCTGGGCTAGCCTTTTTTCTTGCATGGCACCTGCCCCCATCTGACAGTAAATGTTTGCATTATTACCCTATTTGTTATCTCCCTAAGAATAATCCAGAGTGGAAGGCGAGTTGGGTTGTGTGGACAAAATTAATAACGTTCCTTTTTGCAAAGCAAAAGGATTAGGTCTGCCAGGTGTTTTGTACAGCTAAGAAAAAGATCTATGCAAAGCCTGAACCACACAGAACAGCATGAATTTTAATCAAAGGCACTAGTTAAATTGTCACTAACTTCAGTGGAACTGAAGAACTGAAGAAACTGGAATTTTGCCTTCATCATGAGCTCAAATCAAACTCTTGTAGTTCAGATTTATATAAGGGCTGGAAGAAGAACTTCCACAGTCAAATCACTCTAGCTCTTTTCTTTTTTTTCTTTTTTTTTCTAAAGAACTTTACACAGATTTATCTTTTAAAAATACATACACTTGCAGAACCCTGTGGAATTAATTTTTAATTTTTTAAAAGATGAAATTACTCCACCCCTTCAGGGAATCCACATGAGGAAGTGGGAATTGATATGCTCAATTGCTCTTTGTACCATGGTCCCGGATGCCAGTTTTCTTAATCTTTGTTTTTTTCCCAATTATTTTGCCCATAGACCATGAATTGTAGCATATCTGATAGGCATTCTTTATAGAACAAATTGATTTCACTATTTAAACAGGTGTGGCAAGCTTTAAAGAAATACTTACAGTAGCATTATTTCTTTTTAACAGTGCAAATAAAGCTCAGGTGACTGTGGCAAATTAATGAAAATTACTGAGTACAGCGGACGGGGTAAAATAATGGAACTATCTCCCAGGACATTGAGTATCTGGAGGTGCTAGACTGCCTCCCCTCACAATCAATAGAGATGCAACCTCAATAACTGTTGTAGGCAGTTTAGTAGGTTTTCTGATGGTGATAACCCTGGTCTCATCAAAGTTGCCATAAGCTTTTCAGATTAAAAAGCGCCTTTGCCCTTATCTCAGAACGTGGAAGGATATGGGAGACCTTATCACAAGCAACTTCCCGTAGTGCTGCCCGCTATACAAATAAAGAACAAAAGCAGCTGTGTTAGAGAGGAACTATAATCCAATATCAAAATGCTGGCAACAGCATGGAGCTGCAGAAATACTGGAGAAAATGGGAAACAACGAAACAATATTGACCTGTGCTATGGACAGAAACCTCGACCCAGCATAACAAAAATGGTCCTCAGTATACAAGAGATCACAGCAAAAGCAAGGATGTGGAAGGGAACTGCAAGGAAAGAACGAGGAGATGTCCAGACCCTTTATGCCTTCTGAAAGCCAACAGGTAGCACGGAGAGATGCAAGACAGGTTGGGTTTAAATAAAGCAGAGCTGAGCATGGAGGACCTGTCAAAGCTGACTTGGTGATATTGCCCTGCAAATAAGTGAAAGCAAAGATTCTGCAAAAAAAAGAAAGGTGAGCTGGGCAATGCTGCACTAGAGCAAAAAAGCAAACACAATCCCCACATCTCTTCAAGGTAAAGGGGGAAGATGTGCACGTCTGTAGCCATTCTGCAAGTAGGTTACTCTTGAGCAACACAAGGGGTGAACTGTGTGTACAATGGTGCCTAGTGCCACGGCTTTTTGGCCTCAGTGAGCTAATGTGGTACAAATTTTATTTAGGAAATGGAAGTTTGGGCACTGACTTGGAAGAAAATATCACTGTGTTGCCCTGTGTGCAGGTCTGCCTGCGCATGGCCATGAAGTGAGTTGCTGACTTACGTCTCTGCCTCAAAACACTTATTCCACTCCTTTGCCAGAGCCAGAAAAGACAATTATAAAGCAATCTCCCCCTAAACTTGAGCTTTCATTTTGTGAACACATCATCAGCACTGCAGCTTGCTGATCAAACTGCAAGTATTTTGGCAAAGTCAAAGTGCTGCAAAATGACAGGCCCTTTATCTTCTCTCTCCCTTGCCCTGGAGACAAGCAAAAAAAGCCAGAACAATGCAGTTGGATTGGTTAATTTTCAGTCACCTGTTCCTTAAGAAAAGTTCTTTCTTCTAGAATGTGCAGCCCCAAAGCTGATGTCATTTATTGGCAATAAATATTGATAAGGAAAGCGAAGAGAACGACCATATATATATACAACCCTAGAGTGAGGAGTGCCTATCACTCCTGCCACTCTTCCTGAGGCACAAAAGGATTCTGGCTGGACATAGGTAATGTATACAGAATTTAATTTCAGTATTATAGATTTTATCCATAGAGTCACTTAGTCAGTATTGATTGGGCACGGTGCTACAAAGGCTAACATAGTTAGTATCTAAGTTGTACCAATGTAAAAGAAAATGTTTGCTTATAATAGACCCAGAGGAAGAATTTAAAAATAAATTGTATCTTCTACTTAGAAAGCAAACCTTCCTTCTGTGTGATATGACTTCAATGAAGTTTAATTCCTATATTTCTTTAGATCAAAAGTTAACACTCCGACTTACTTGCTTCATTCTTTAGATGTGAACATAAATGAATCCATTTTGCAGAGGGTTGTCAATCATGGGAAATGGTTTTCTAATGTCATTGGAATTATTTTTATGTTGAATTTACTTCACTTGAGTATTGGGATATACCAGTACAGCTGAACTCAGAATTTTGTTATCTAGAAACATTAACTGTCTGTCCAAGCTTTCAGGTATCTAGAGTATTAAAATGTTTATTATATCTTACAGTATGCAGTAAGCTGATTGTGTTTTCTTAATGCTGAATTAATATTCTTTTTACAAAATAGAAGTTGAAGTTGTAAACTCAGAGAAGGTAGAAAAAACCTACATAAAAGTAACTGAAAAGACGAATATTCCCACTCTTACAAACTTTCAAAGCTGATATGCCCCAAAAGCTTTATCAGCTGGCAGGAAAAAGGCTCTGCTGACAAATGAAGCACCAGGACCACACACGAAAAGTCTGGACTGTATTTTTCAAATAGAACTTTGTTTCTAGCTTTTTAGCTATAGATATAATTTTTTCTACATTCAATCAAATTTGCACGAAATTCCAGTTTTGAAGCAGAGCTACCTAAAAGCACGTTGCTAGCATTTGTCTTTCAGAAGCATAAAAGCGGTTTAGTGGATTGAATACTATTGACATGGAAGGATAATTTTATCTGGGAACTGTCGTCTTTTGACTTTGAAAGTAAAGCCAAATTCATTTACTCTGAAGCCAGCTCTAAGGTTTATTATGTTTGATGTTTTTTATTAGATCTATTTTCCTTGCTTGCTTCAGTCTGTTTTAAAATAATCCATTGAGCTCAAAGTTACTTTTCCTTGGGATTTTGCCACATCTTTACCAATTAAAAAGATATAATTTCCTGTATATCCTCTATAATACAAAGATATGTAACCATTGCTTCTTATGATGTAGAAAAAATATCCCATGAATATGAAAGGTTTCAGAGAGTGTACACGCTGTGATGTTTGTTTCTATAATGCATCTTAACACCAAGACAGCAATAACAATATTATTTCATGAAGGTGTAAGGTATAACTTGAGAGTGACTTGCCATTTACTAGAGTCATTATAATGCTGATTTGACAAGGAAAAATGGGAGCAGGAAAAGAATGGAGACAACAGTTGATGTGTTAAGTGCTCCACTAAAAAATACCAGTTCCCATTACGGATGATGCTTGCTAGAGCAGGACACTGATGTGACTCTACTGAACAAATTAATGGACTCTTTTTATAGAAGGAGGCAAAGATGAAGGAAGTGTTGCAAATTCAAGAGGGGGTTGATCCCTCTGTTACAAGAAACACACAGCTTTATGCTGCTTAGAGTCCCTTCTTCAATGCAAGGTGCAGCTTTCTCTCTGGAGGAGGCAGTGGTGCCTACACACCACCATACACTCATTCACACAGTTTCTGCACATTCCACTGTATTAGGTCTCAACTAAAGTAACCTTCTGTGTGGCAGGCTTCACTTTGCAACATTTTTCTATCTTGCTCACATATGACATCACACCACAAACTTTATGCAACAGGCATTAATGGATTTTGGGTTTTGTTTGTGCTTTTTTTTTCCTTCCTCTGTAGAGATGGATCCACTGACTGCAATGTGGCAGGCTTCACTTTGCAACATTTTTGTATCTAGCTCACATATGACATTACACCACAAACTTTATGCAACAGACATTAATGGATTTGGGGTTTTGTTCGTGCTTTTTTTTTTCTTTCCTCTGTAGAGATGGATCCACTGACTGCAATCGTTTTCCTGGCTGCTTTGCTACACCAATCTGATGGAGAGGTAGGAGCATTCATCTATGCAAAAGAGCCATATCTGAGCACATTGTATAGATATCTGACATGTCATAGTCTGGTCTAGTGATCTCTAGAGCCTTAAATTCAGGGTTGAAACTATTGTTAACATGTTAATATAACACAATAAAGAAGAACTCTTAGTTTTCTCAGATCTTTGCATTAAAATATTTCTTCTGCCTATCAAAATATTCTTCTCTTCAAAAGAATAATTTTAAAAATACATTTTCCCCAAAAAAGTATGCACTGAAGCTATTCTAAAATAGTTTAGTTGAGTATCAGAAATCTAGTTTTCACCTCTCCTTAGACAGAATTAATCTTGTAAGATGTAGGTATCTACTCTGCAGACATTTGAACGTGAGCTATTCATCGAGACCTACTTAATAAGGAAGGAAAAGAAGTACTTCAGGGATGCCAATCTTCCCTTTCTTCGATATATCTTGAGTGAATTATGTCCTAAGCTGATCCTTTTCTTTACTTGAATATAGCAGCAGTCTAAAATAACTGGCTGAGATTTTACTTCTATCACTGTAAATGTCTTAAGCTAAACAAGATGTATGACACCTTGTGGGGTAGGTTCAGCTGCCCAAACAGAAATGTCTTAGCTCAGCTTGAGACTCTCCAGAGTATCAAAGCCATTCACGGGCAGTTGTACCAACAGCTGTACCTTTCTGGAGCAACAGTCTGAGGCTAGGTAAGACTGTCTGTGCATTTCCAAAGGCATTAGGTGCCATTTTAAGCCACTGACTACAGACTTTAAAACCTAGAATTGAGCTCCAAAGTCAAATCAGTGGGATTCATTCCTATCTCTTGAACATTTCATAACTTAGTGTCTCTCGTTTTACACTTTTCTCATTGGCCATAAAGGTAAACTGAATGACTTTTAAATATTTACGTCTATGGTATAGCTATGCAACATTAAATAAGGTGAAGCAGTGCCTAGAAAAGAGACCACCACACCAGTGGCGGAACTCATCTCACTGGCTTAAGCATGAAAGCATTAATTGTCCAGATATCTGCCAGGCACCCTACAAACAAAGACAGGAGAAAGAGGTACTTGCAGGGAATGTTTTTCCAGTCCTAAAAAGGAGCTCACATTTTGTGGGCTGAGCTACCTCTGACCTCTCCAGTAATGACAAAGAGGGTGAAGGTGCCTAGCTTAGATTGAGATGTCTCATTTTCAGACATTAAGCAGGAAGAAAATTTTCCCAAGGGATGTTTTGTTTTCCAACGTAACCATTGCAACTCTTTTTCTCTGCAAGGATTCATGACCTGAGATCACTATGTATAAGACAATCTAAATCCTTCACTGTTTTCTTGACCTTAGATATTTCAGAAGATGGCCTGCAAACAGCCTTAATTTCTGATCCAGGCTCACAAACTTCCAAGGCTTACAGCTGACATGAGCTAGGGACATTTTTAGTGCACACAAGAGGTGAAATTCCATCTTAAGATTTGGGTCCAGAGCTAAGCTTTCTCCATATTTGGTGTGGAGACATCTGAAGGTAGAATTCCTAACTATAAATTTCATTTAGAGTCACGTCTCCTAATGAAAAATGCAGTTCAAATCAAGGAAGGAAGAAAAAAAAAATTCAGCATTTATAAGAACAGAAAAACCGATATAGGAAAGTTGGGAATTTCCAAGAAGTTTTACTTTAACAAGAAGCTCATAATTTATCTCGCTTATTAAACTTCTGAGAACTGCATTTTTATTGTTTTCCAGCTTTTTCAGTATAGCAAAAATATGCAGTATCAACAAGTGGGCGATTTCTCTTTTCACAACGAAAAGCTGATCCTTGACCAACACAATGAAATACGGAGATCTGTATTCCCCACGCCCAGGAACATGCTGAAGATGGTAAGCTATGCATTGTAACTACCCTGCTTTCTATATCAGTAGCAGAGGATTGTAGCCTTCTTAAACAAGCCACACTCAGTGAACAGAGAGGGCAGGAAAGGTGCTCTGGCACTGAGAATTTTATCCCTTTGTTTCTGCAGGCTTAATGCTCAATTTTGCACACTTTGATGCTGCCAGCAATTGTAAAACCATTGCAAAGGTCTCCGGACGGGCCACAAGTGTTGTTCAGAACTTCTCTCCTAACCATGTCTTAGTTTCTCCACTTAGAAAAACTCAATTAAGCAACATAGGAAACCTCTCTCCTAACCAACATGTCTTAGTTTCTCCACTTAGAAAAACTCAATTAAGCAACATAGGAACCATTCCATTCCTAGGGTTATTTGTCTACAGGAACCATGAACACAGGTTTGCCCCAAACACATCTATTTATTGCTGTCAAACCTATGTCAACAGAGCCTGCACAGTGAATCACAACCTCTTGCCTTAGGTTTGTTCACTGCAGTAGACAGCAACAGCAAACCTTTTCAGGGAGAGCATTTAAACCAGGAATAAGGTACAAAATGCAGTGATGGCCCTTGGATTATGGATAGCACTCTTTAGACTGTGGGACAAGCAGCTCCCTTAGAAAAAGAAAAACACGTGCGCTGGATAAAGCAAAGAGTATGTAAAGTGAAGGTGGAGCAGGAGCACAAGCAGCAGCATGCTTCTGAATTGCACATTCTGGGGAGGGGGTGAAAAAGAACCCCTAGGTCTGCATAGCCATTTTTCCTCAGCTGAGCTTGCTTTGCCCATCACTGCTCCCATCCCTGTCACCCCTGATGTTCTTTGTTATCCCTGTCCCATGAGGAGATGAGCTGGTCCATGCTTTTCAGTTAAGTCTGCATGTGAGACTTGCAAACATTCTCCAAGTTCAAAGTCCAGCTGGTGTCTATCACCACGTCTCAGCTGCACCAGGGTTGAAAATCAGTTTTATACTATTTAGTGTGCTGCACCCTGCAAAGTTCACTCAGACAAAAAGCCAAAAGAAAGCAACAGTATGTTATAAAATTCCTATTAATCAGGACCATCTGGAGACCAGGAATGTGTGACACTGCACAGAGTAACCTGCCCTACAGCCTTTAAGAGCTGAAGAAATGTGCTGCCCAGGCCCCAGTAGTGTAAACTGGCACAAACTCCTCTGCTTTCGGTTGAAGACCATGGGAGTACTCAGTGCATAAACCCAAGTGTCTCCCCATTATTTTTTTTTAATTCTCACGGACTGCACTAACTTATCTGTGTTGTGGACACCTCTTCCTTTGTGTCTTTCAGGTGTGGAGTGATAAAGCTGCCAAAGGTGCTCAGAAATGGGCAAATAAATGTGGGATGAAAATCAGTCCAAGAGAACAGAGAGTCTTTAATGGTACGTGACAAATATGAAGCCTAAACTGATTGGTTAATGACAGTTTGCAGATGATGCCTATGCATGTGAACTAGAAAAAAGGATAACTTTTAATCTGTTGTATAATATCTTTTTAGGATTATTCAACACAAAGCCATCATCTTTGGCAGATAAATATGTTGAAAGCCAAATTGTTGGAACTTGAGTGAGAGGGATGCTATGTACTTGCCCTATTTTTTTAATTTTATTTAAGTGTCTACTTTTGGCTCTGTTGGAGGCAAGACAGCACAGTAGATGACCATGTTGGTATGACTAAGTACAGACAATTTTGTGTAACATTTTGCAGTCAAATAAGTTACTGAAAGCTTTCCAAAATCAGAACAATATTCCCTGCAGCTTTCATGGGATCAGGTGTGCTGCCCTCTTCTTAAAATCACAGGGCAAATAGGTTGGCATCATAGAGACTTTATTTAGGATGTAAATACAACCCCTCTGCCCTACCTCCCACCCTACAGTTTGCTTCTCTCCTAAGTAATAAAATAGACTTACTTCTACTTCAGGTGTCACCTGCGGTGAGAATGTATTGCTGTCAACTTACCCAAGAACATGGGCTGAAGCAATTCAAGTCTGGTACAGTCAGTCCTCCAATTTCAAGTATGGATTTGGAGCAATTTCGAAAAATGTCAATATCGAGAGCTATACTCAGGTATGGAGACAAACTGCAATGATATGCTTGAATTACAGGAGTACATTTAGGGCAGCTGAGAGGGATTTATCATCAGAAAAAAAAAAGAAAAAGTCACTGTCATCAGACCATTTTCTATCATTCATACTCTGATCCAAGTATGAATGATAAATTAAAACCTTTTTTCATCTAATTCTGAAGCAATGGAACCAGCATTTTGGAAGAACTCTCCAGAAAAAAAATATTAGTCTGTAGGAAAAAATTTCAATATCTTTAATTTAGAAATAAATGTTTTCTATATATATGTTGAAATACCCAATTAAGAAATGTCAAAGCAAAATATCTGTGATGAAAATATTTGACTTCAAACTTTAGTACCTTGCCAGGAAATGTGTTCAATAACATTTGGAAACTGGGGGACATGGTTAACTCATTTTTCTATTTATTCTTTCTGACAGCTAAACTGTAAACTTATAAGCTAAATAGAAAAAAAAAAAAACAAACACAGAACCAAAACCAAACCAAATTGTCTTCTGGTTCTTATGTTTCGTGAACTCTTTGATCAGAATTCAGTAAAACCTGACTCTGAAATACTGTGTTTATTTTTTGTTCTACAGATGATCTGGTACAACAGCTACCTGCTTGGATGTGCAGTTGCCTACTGTCCTAAGAACCAGTTCAACTACTTCTATGTTTGCCGATACTGTCCTCCGTATGTACTGCCTTTTTACTCATTTAAAATGCAATCCCAGTTATGTTTTAAAAAACTCCTGCAGTCCATTGGTCACGTGTACGAAAAAATGATTACAGTTTATTTTAACCATTTATAATTTTGAAAATACTGATGTGAGTTGTGGGTTTAACATCAGGTTAAATAACCATATTTGTTTTATTTCCCATTGAAAAATACATTAGGGAAATTTTAGCATATGAACAAAGAAAGGCCTGTCTCTGACAGAGTCAGGCATCATGAACAAGTCATCCTATAACTTTAACCACAGACAAGAAAGCCAGATGCAAAGTGAAAGCCAACAGCAAATGAATATTCACAGAGATAAAGATCTGTGAGGTTATTTCCTTATAGGCCACAATCACTTAAAAGCCATTAGAAAAGCAGAACTAGAAGCACAGAAGATTTTTTTTTAACTAATAATGTTATATAATGCAAACAATTAATTTTCTTTCTCTGAACCTTATTTCCCCTCTTACTTAAAATCAAATTTGAATATTCTATGAATATCTGAAACTAAAACATGGCTGTCCATGAAAATAATTTTATCCAAAAACTTCTGGATGCCTTTCATTGTGATAAATAACATAAACTCCTGCTAATGGCTCAAGAGCTGTACTTTGATCTTGTTTTGTGTTGTATTTCTTTCAAATTTCAGAGGAAATAAAGCAGTGCAAATTGCGACGCCTTACAGAAGCGGACCGAAATGTGCAGACTGTCCCGGCCACTGTGACAGAGGGCTTTGCAGTAAGTCAATGTATTCTCCTACTTACAACAAACATTGGGTTACCTTCCATAGCATCATTGCTTCTTTTAGCATTTTAGTTTTGTGTAGCTACTTCTTGCTAAACCGGACAATATGATCCTAGAACTGCCCCCTTCATTTTCCCCCAGAAATAACAGGGATTAAATGCCCCCACCAGAAAGGCGCAATCTTGAGCAGGGGGGTTGGAACAGAGGACATCCTGTGGTCCCTTCCAACCTCAACAACCCTGTGATAAAGGGTTGCTGTTGGGCAATAGGTGCATTATCACACCGTCAGTCTTCCTCTGCCCTCTTCTGGAAAGCTCAAGGCAAAATGTCTTGATGTACATCCAAGGGCAGGAACAGACAGTCAGGTTTCCCCCAGCCGTACGTACGTGAAGATCTGTACAGGCCCCTGGGTCCTGCAGGTATCCATGTAGAGCAAGTCACAGCATACAAATAGATGGGACCTGTAAGATACCTGCATTCCATTTTCTATAATTTAACAGCAGAGCAAAAGTGCTAAGATTCTGTAGACATTAAAATTTGGAATTTCTGGAAAATGCAAATGTATCAGACCAGGACTTGGTTTTCAATTAATACTTCATGTCTTTGTTTCTCTCTCTTATATTTTAGCTAATCCTTGCAAGCATCAAGACTTCTTTGGAAACTGCAGAAATCTGAAAATCTTGTTTGGCTGTAACCATTCATTGGTGAGGGAGAAGTGTCCTGCTACCTGCAGATGCACCACTCAAATCATGTAATGTCCTGGTGGATGTGATTATAGCTGCTGTGAGACTGATTAGGAAAGAGTAGACCTCACTGTGACGTGTATCCACTCTCGGTGCATCAGCTCAGATTGACCTACTGAACTTTTTTCTGAAATCTCACCATTACTTCAGTCCTAAATAAGTCTAGTAGCTCAGAATAACCTCTGATGTTATTTAGACTTTGTAGAAATAATGCTTAAGCTACTAATGGGTTACTTTGTGGTTTTCCTTGCAGTGGAACTTCCACTGAATCGTTACTTTTTAGTGGAAAACACACTTTTGAAAGACTTCAGGTTTTTTGCAAAGTATGTTAAATGCCACTTTACTTTCTTCTGTTACCTTTTCTTTGATTATCAATGGAATGTATTCCTGCTAATAAAGATGTGATTTACCACCGGTTCACAAACAGAGCTTTTCATTGAAGTTATTTATAATGCAATTTTTTCATTTGGAAAATTCCTTACGGATATTTTGAGGCTTTTTGATACTTCATGTGAGCTGGGATGAGGCAGAAAAAGAAAGACAAAGGGAAGAAGTGATGCATTTTTTTTGTATGGCCAAAATAAGAGGCAAATGTTGAATCTGCAACTTTTATTTTGTGGCCTAAACACAAGGCTTCTGATATATCTGTATATGCATGTGAGAAATGACAAGGTTTTTTTTCATACGGCACCCACAGTCAAGAAATATGAAGCTTTTTAAAAGGATTTGTATGAGTAAGTCGGTCCCACACTCACTTGGAATTCATACTGCAGCATATAGAAAAAATATGCTTCTATAAAAATAAAACCAAAACCCAAACAAAAAACAACCAAAACCAAACCAAAACAACATCAAAAAGGCAGCAGATCCAAGTACCCAGAAGTTTGTGTATTGCTTCTAGTGATACATTTCCTGAGTAAATTTCTTATTTCATATCTTTCCAGGCCCTTTACAATGCAGGGCATGAGTTCAAAGGACTGCATATCTGTATTGACCCAGAACTGAGGACTTGGAGCAGTTGTGGCATTGTCAGTGGCATTGGCATTGGCCTTTTTGAACCATTTAGTGAGGGCCACTGTTACAGTCATGCCTCTTTAAATACTGACAATATTATTATATTTGTAAAACAGTGTTTCAGAATCATCTTACAGCTTTGGGTTTGGGATTTTTAAATATATTATAGCTTCTATCTGATCTTTGTATTTCTAACTTTAAAAAAAAAGGTACATACAGAGGAAACAGAAGCTCTTTGATTACAGTTTATAAGTTTTGATAGATGCTAAAAAATCAACAAACATCTGGAACAGCATCTCACTGAACAGAGAAGCACCTTCCCTCTAACCTGCCCCCTGATACATCCTGGTGCCATGCAGATTGCACCAGGGTCTCCCACTGGACCTCCAGCAGCCCCTCAAGATGGGTGCTGGTCTCCCATGGCTCTTGAGTCACATACACAAGCCCTGAGCGGGATTGATCCCACTCGTCACCTTCCCTTCCTATTTTAGACCAGTAAAAATCATTTTCTCCATAGGACTGCAATTCTGGTTAAAAACACAAGAGGGTGAACCATACCCAGACATTCAGCTGCACTTTATTTTTTTTTTTTCCTTTTATAACCTGTATAAAGGGCTCCTCCTTATACTAGAAATTAAAGTTCTGGACCTACCCTGGACTGATTTTAACATTTGCTTGCATAGACTTTCTTAGTTAATACTGGACGAATAAATAATTACTGCCTATAGAAACAGCTTGGTAGCAGTTTCTTCCTCTCCATTTTTTCATCCTGTCTCTGCTGGCCAAATTACTATCATATCAAAGCAATTTATACTGTCAAATGAAGGTAATTTATGGCTTCCAGGGTATCAATGACTACTGCTGGTAGCCTTGATTTTCTGCCTGCCTGAAGCTCAATTTCACCATAATGACTGTGTGCCACTATTTAAGTTTCCCACAAACACAGCAACATTTGCAGAAAGTGTAATTCAAACCAAAGCTGCGTGAGAATTTCCTAAGAAACCTAGATTTTCCTCAGAAAATACTAATATACTAATAAGGAGGATACATAATTTTGGTAAAACTCTCAGGTGTTTTCTGGGATATTTTCCAAGATTTAATTTCTGTTTGCAACCAAGGAGACGGGTGTTAAAACTCCTTCCATGCACACACTTTCTCTTTCCTCCCTCTCTCTCTGGGCCAGTGAATATTTAAAGAGGAATGGACTTATTGTCATATATTTCTGAGAGCTCTCTCCCCAGAGAGGCAGCTTTTGTGCTCTCAATATGCAGCTATGGTTTTTGAGTGTGGCACAAGCAGTAGCTGGAAAAGACCTTCTGCATCATGAAGTGCAACCCCGGAGCATCATGCATCCTGCTTGGCTACTTGCAGGGAATCCAGGCATTGACCTTCTTCTTTTCATGGGGAATTCTAAAAGATTCTGCTTCTCTATTGATGTGGAATAGAAGAAATAGCAGGTGAGATGAAATGTTACCTGGATGATCCTGTTTCTCAATACAGACTTCAAGGAGAGCTTGGAACACTCCACTTAGTTGTTCATGTCCCGGGAAAGCTGAGTTATTTCTGAATATGAGTTTCCCATATGCAGGTGAGGTAAAAGCAATATGACATTCACTGAGATCCAGCATGTCAAATAACATTTTTCTCAACTCTCTGACTGATTTTTCACAAACTTTTTTTTTTATACTGATGCCCTGAGAGTTGTTTCCTTTGTGGTATTAGCATATGTTTTTTTGGTATGTGCTGAAGTTACATCTACGGAATTGTGTTACTTTTTATGTGTAGCTCAGGCAAGAAGCGAGTAACACTGAGAATTTCTTACAATTTCCATGTTCCAGACACACTCACAGGCATATGCTGAGAGATGATAAGAGAAACTACTATGGCACAAGTCTAAGTCTTATCTGTGGAGAATGATGTAAGAGCTCTTAGCAGCTAACTCACATGACAAGGACTTTAAACACAGAGTTTTGAACAAATGTTGTGAAGTAAATTTAACAGTCTTACAGCTTGTGAAGAAAAAACATGTCTGATATTTAAAATGCACCAACTGCTGTAGTCACGTTATCTAATTTGGCTGTCTGAGAATCAGCCTCTGGGCTAAGCAAAATGGGAGGTGTTTCACTTTCAGTATCACAAAGTCTTGCTGAGAGTCATGGGCTTAAATTTTCTCTGTTTTCCTCCATCTATGGAGAGAAGAACAACTCTTCCATAAATCTTCCCTCACTCATGCCCTTAACATATCACACCTACAGCAACAGGTTAAGCAGATAAAGAAAAGATTTTATACTAAATGGAAAGCAAGGGTTGGAAACCTTGACATTCCATTAGAAATTTGTGTTGTCAGAATATCCAATTGCTGCCCAAGGAACAAAACTGTAGCAAGATGCCTGAGCAAGAGCAAGCACCAAACGGCCATCAGAGCAGGGACAGGACGAGGATGTTCCCCACCCCTGGGTTGCTCCCAACTCTTGTGGGCCAGGCTGCCAAAAACTGGATTCCTCTAAGTGTAAAGGCCACAGTTAAACTGTGAAAACAGGAGATGGACTTTCTCATTAAGAAGCTACTTGACAGCTAGTGTCTCCGCTCTGGGCTGCAAGCTGCAAGACATTTAACCTCCGTGCTTCAGTCTCACTGACTGCGACACAGAGATAAACTGACACAGACAGGGCAAGGAAGATTAATTAGTGAAAGCTGAGAAAGAGCCTCTGAAGCACTAAGACCTGTTAATTATAATATCACATTTGGTAGCCACACCTCCAGTATAATTATATCTCAATTTAACCACCAGTCAAGGGGACAGGGGGCAGCAGGAGATACAAGTGAGGAAACGACACTCCCTCCAGCGCCGACCCACCGGTTCACCAGCCGGTCACTGGGCTCTGTTGTCTGCTCTTGGGTCTGTGCGATGCAGCCATGGGATTGTTCCCTGGGGCTAACAGAGATATTCTGACACCTTCACAAACAAGTCTTGAAAAAAGACAATTTTTAGGAAAAGTTGAAGTAACAGATTGGCATGGAAATACTCTTACATACGTTAAGGAAATGACCCACGTTCATTATGTTGCTGATGGACAACACAGTGTTCAACACGTGTAACTGAAAATGACTCTTTAAAATGCTTATTGTCAGATTTTGGGGGTTTTCCACAGTAATGTAAATTATCATTTCAAACCGAACGACATTTCGCTCTTTGTGTTTTGCATCGTTAGCGCTCCTCTGCTTTCCTCTCTTCTCCCACTTCTGCATAAAGCTATGGAAGTGAAGGAGGAAAACTCAAGATGCCAAACTAAGATCAAATTAAGCACAGTCTGAATGTTAGAATGATTTATGGGTATATTCTTGTCAACTCAAAGGTGTGAAGAATTTTCACCTTCCAACATTTGTGTTCTGGCAGAAGTTCTACTGCACAGAAGCTTATAGCAGCAAAAAGTGTCCTTCATCAGACATTTTTTTTTTTAGTGCTGGAAATGTCACCAAAAAGGCTCTTTGGCTACTAAGAGCTGTCTATCCAGATAGGAAGGAATTGGTAGTATGATCCACTGGTGTATGAATACAGGCTTCTCATCTACAGGTAAACTAACTCAAAATCAAGTTCTGTTTTCACCATCTTGATCGATAAGGTCTAATGATAGAAGATTCTAGCCATAAATATTTCCAGTAAGTAGAAGAGCCTAATAATTGGTTGTGACAACAGTGTGTGTCAGAACAAGTCAGTTAACATCTGGTAAGGTCCAGATGAAGATCTGGGAGCACCTAATTTGCACACATTCTAACTCTTCTGGCAGTGTAGGAACAGCATTCTTTCTTTTGGTTCCAGGCAAAATCTGAGTGTCTGAGACAATAGCAGGAAATGAGGCAAACAACTCACATCTGAAAGTTTGGTAAATCTGGACATATTTTACTCCCAAGCCTTTCCAGATCTAAATCAGGTTTTGAGTCTCCTCCCTGCTATTTTTTCCAAAGCAGGCACTATTGTTGTGACTTGGTGGTTATCTGGCAGGCTTTCCTGGAATTCTGTGGTTTCGTGACTGTCCAGAGAACTGTTGTTACAGGTTAAAGAGTTTTATTTACCACTTTCCATACCTGGAGGAGGAAACTCAACACTTTACCCTTTCTCCTTCCTCAGGTATCTATACTGAATGGACTTCTTGCATGCAGAAATGGTGTTATCCAGTACACTCTTGTCTCAGCTAAACCCTATTCCTAGCAGGTATTAAAGCACCTCCAGTGCTGGCTTGTCCCGGAAGGGGTGTTGTATTTTAGATAGTAAGTTGGGTTGCAGTTGTTCATTGAATTTGTGCTTGGCCCATTGCAAGGAA